TTTACAGATGAGTACTATAATTTTTATACAATTGGCATCTAAGATTAACATCCCGCAGGCAATAATTGACAGTGTGGAAATTTGAAATCTATTCTTACAGCTCCACTTTACTTCTTCTAGCAGTTTTACCTTGGTTGATTTTTTCCCCCCCTAGGAAATAATTCTGTGCAGATGAAATGAATGTTTCAGTTATTAGATCCCAAATAGTCATTTGTTTGTGGAAACATCTGTCTCACTTGGCAATATTTGAGGTTTAGATATAATTTCATAGTTTGGTTTAAAGAATAAAAACTTTCAGAATTATGAAACTTTGATGATGAAAAAGACCACCTACTAGGGCTCCTGCCTTTTAAAATAGACATAACTCCTCACTGGAAATTTTCATGAGAATATTTCTCTTCCTGTTATCATGACTTGGTCTTCTCCAAGAGACCATGAACCCTGAGTTCAGCTATTGGAAACATTCCTTTTCATGACTGAGAAGAAAGGCAGTATCTAAGATGTTTTTATAAGAAAGGAAAATATTATACCATTGGAATGCGGAGCATTTTTGGATTGAATGTTTTGGATGACAATTGTAGTGTCTATGTGTTGCATCAATAAAGACTGAGAATAAAAGAAATCCTCACGTCAAAAGAACCAATGGGTTGGTTAAATAGATTTGTAACTGAGATATATAGCTAGTGCTTCCCTGTAGTTTTTGTCAATGGCTTTCTTAATGTATATCTCCAGAAATGGAGGAAACAATTTGGAACCAATTCATAAAGATGCGCAACTTCTTCTCTTGTTCTTCACCCTATAACTTCTACAACAGGCTCCTAATATCAATTCCCCTTTTTATGAAACTGAATTAACATATCTTTGGAAACTAAAATGATCTAAATAATACTGAAGTATTTCAAACTGTATACTCTTTTTTTTTTTCCAGAAGTGGGGATTGAACTCAGGCCCTTGCACTTGCCAGGGGAGTGCTTATTCTACTGAGCCATTTCCCCAGCCCCTTATATGCTCTTTAAGTCATACCTTTCACACTGTACTCTTATGTACTTTTATATATTAGACTAGCATGTCCTTTATAACCTCTGAAGTCATTTTAAAGTCTTTCATTAACCAATTTCTTAGAAATTCATACACCTTCTAAACATCCCCAATTAGCACGGAAGTTATTGATACAAATGTTGAGGAGAACAAAGTCAAGCCTAAGGTCTCTTGTATTCAATGTAACACTGCTGTCATGAATGCCAAGATGAGATGCAGGTTTCTGTCAGATTCCATTCATATGCACTTAGCTGATGGCTTCCTCCAGGAAGCATTAGATTAGAGGTTCACTTCATCATTCATTCGCCTTGTAGGGAGATGAGCTGTTATCCAGACAAGTCAAGATAATACGAAGTGAAGCTACTACCATAGGACATCTATTATGCAATTTGCACCAAGAAGATTGTTTTATATGCTCCAATCAATTTGGCAGTTTAAAAAAAATTGTCAGTAACTTTCTGTTTCTCTTTCTTTTCACATCAGTATAAATGCTTTCCAGCTGGTTCCTCTTCTCTTTGAGATTTTCTAGGTAGTCACCCCAATTACACCTCCTGAGAAATGGCATTCTGTTACCATATCCAGATCACGGATTTACAGAGTGATATTTCCTTGGTATCAACACTCTTTATTTTCTCTTCTATTGTGCTTTGCTTGGTGGAATACCTGATTTCTTTCAGACTCTGGTGTTGAGTTCATCTTGACTACAACTACAGGTCTACACATCAATCTTTAGTGGGTGGCTCCATATTTCCTCAAATACTGTGCACAGTCTACCTATTTCAGAGATGCTCTTTCTGGAAATCTAGGGACTAGGCCCAAGGAGCTGTGTTTTTAGTATGGAAAGAGAAGAAATGGAGCATTGGGAGGGAAATTAGGATAGAGAGGAGAAAGCCCAACCTGCTCTTAGATGGAGGTGAAAGTGTGAGTGGCCTCGAGACAGCTATCGAAAAACACTAGGAGGGCACAGGTGGTTTCATGAGAATGAGATAAACTCAAGTACTTTAATTTCAGGGTCAGCAGCATCAAACTATTCCTAACTCCCTAATCATACTAAGCCAGCGCAAAATGGTTACATTTAGATAATGTCCTTCAAATTAATAACTCAGTGAAAAAATGAAGATCTTTTTAAGGAACATAGTTTTTAAGTGTTGTAAGTATGGTTAAATTAGGTGATTCTATTTGGAGAACTCGAAGAAGTGCACTGGTTGTTAAAGAAACATTTATGGGACTGGTAATAAATCTTAACCTTATAATTAAAATAAAATATAATATGCAAAGAAGCAAATTAAAAATTGCAACATCCTTCTTTCATTCACTTTCTATTTACTCTTTACTTAATTAACACATTTTTACTATGTGCTATACACCAGGAATTAAATTAGCTGCTGGAGCTTTATTACAGGTTCAATTTCTCAGTAAACATGAACTGAATATATGACAAAAGAAAGGAAAGAATGGGAGGAGGGTGAAGGTAGGCATGGAAGTAATGAGGATTGAATAAGCAGTCACATCAGCTAGTTATATCAAAATAAATAATGTATACATATAGATAGATATTGGATAGCTTTATGCAAATACCCTGGCTAAATTAGGAGAGTGGAAGTCTCTAATTCCCAACCTGATTCAGTGTTCCCCTAGTGATCTAAAGTGCTGTAATACTCGTGACTTGCTCCATTGCTACCAGATTTTTTATTAAAGCACATAGGAGAAGATCTTAAATCAAGGATACCATTTAATAATGAAATACTTCACATAAGTAGACAACAGAGTACAGAAAACTTAATAGACAATGAGCATGATATAAATCATTTAAAATACAGATTTGGGTTTTTTGTTGTGTTTTAGGTGTTGTTTGTTTGTTTGTTTGTTTGTTTTGCAGCACCAGGGATCAAACTCAGGACCTTCCAGTTGCCAGGCAGGCGCTTATGCCCCTGAGCTACATCCCTGACCCCAGAATTAGTATTTTTATGTGGTTCAGCAATCCTGTTTGACAACCTGAAAACTAAAGATCTTAATACCAACAATTATGATTATAGTAAACCTTATCTAGATTTTTTCCAAGTGAACTAAAGCACTCATTTGTTTTATATTGTATTGCAGTAAAAGCGAGCCCACCATCGTGTTTATAGAAAGCCACAAAACATTCTTCCGTTGAGCTGTGGAAATCACATTACCGTGCACATGCAGCCGCGTGTGCTGCTGCGACTCTCCAGCTGCGTTGGTAGCCACACACGTGTATCTGCCAGCATCTTCCAACAGGGCCTTGGCAATCTGCAGAACTCGACCAGAAGACTGCATCTAATTGGGAGCAGAAAGCATGGCAGCATTTTGCACTCTGCATTTGGACATGGAAACATTCACTGAGATAGAAAAATTCATTTAAATTTATAATATCTTATTATTTTTTATGCCACTATCTTAATATCTCTTCATAGATTAGCGCCAAATCATTGCATTATGCAAAAGAAAATTGGCTAATGTGATTGAAAAGGGTTTTATTGATGAAAAGTTTATTCTTATGCATTGGAAAATGCAAAATAAAATAAGCTAAAGGTTAGTCTGCTGGTATAATCATAAAACTTTACTGAATAAAAGATTTTCATACTGAGCTATGAAGAATGTGATGAAAATTTAAGCTATTTGAAGAAAATGGCCACATTAATATAACACTTCATAAATAGTTTTAAAACAACAATCCTTTTTGATTAAATTGTCATGGGGTCCAGAAAAACAATATAATTTGTAAAATATGAATAATGAGAATGCAGATAAATCTGACTGTTTTTCCTTATTTTCCTCTTAAATCCAGCAATTGACCTACACCATTTTGAAGCTGCAGATTCAGGTTATTCTTTGAAACCTACTGTTCTGAGATGAACATTAATTTATAATTACAATCTCAGCTAGCCTGTGGAGGTACTGCATACCCTTTCCTGCTGTCTAGCTACAGCATTCCATATGATTCACTACCTACTCGTTGAAACTCTGTGTGCTCTTTCTGTTTCATGGAAGGAAACTTAGCTCTTTTATAGTTGTCAGCCAAATTCACAGTATTACCGAAAAACCCTATCTGGATTTTTTTTTTAACATATTTGGTACAGGGTCTTACTATGTTGCTCATACTTGTAGTGATCCTCCTGTTTTCAGCCTCCCCAGTGCTGGGATTACAGGTTTGCACCACCACGCCTGGTCTCCCATCCAGGTTCTTAAATCTACACTGGTAGTCTATATTCTCTCTGGAAGTCTACATTTGCAATTCCAGCTATCTGCTGGACAGGTTAGTCCATGAAATTTAACCTGTTCAGAATTAGGCTCATAATTTTTTCCATGTATCTCTTAAAACTCACTTTTCATTGCAGTTTTACAGTCCTTAGTGGCAATCACTGTTTTTCCAGTCATCTAGATTTTGGAGCCCACTTTGTCTCCTATTAATTATACCACTGACTTTTTCAGATTCTCTGTTTTTCATTTCTAGAGCCACTGTGGGATTATAATGGCTTTCTAACTGATGTTCCAGTGTCTCCAACCTCCCCAATTGCTAATCTATTTTACACACTATTGCCAGAATAAATTGTTTAAAATGGAAATTTGATCTTTTTACCAGGCTCCCTCCTAACCTCACTCATGGCTCCCCACCTTGCCCAGAATGAAATCCAAACTCAGCACAACTCACTATACTCTGACCCCAAATGATCTCTCCAACATACTATGCAAACTCCCGCTTAACCTATTTTCCAGTCATACTGTATTCAACTTGATAAGCAACACATTTATACATTTGTATCCACCTATATCCTGTTCCACATGGCCTTTAAGTGTCATGATTTCTTAAGACTCTGAAGTTAGTTAATTGTCCTTTCTTTTTTATGTACTCATTATTCTCCCCTTTGGATTAACTCACCTGTGTTCAAGTTTTCAAATATCAACAATCTGCCAATATCTCCAACCAGAAGGCTGGTTGGGCGCCGTAAGAATTCAATGACCTAGTGACATCTCCACTGGTTTAGCTCAAAGTCTCCTCAACTCCAACTCTAAAACTCAAATCATAGTTTTTCTCATCTTCAAATTGCCCTCCTCCAAAGTAGCCCACTTTACTGCATAGCAGTACTTTCATGTAGTTATGTAGGTTAGAGTCCTAGGAGTCCTCGACACATCTTTCTCCCTCACCTTTCATAAGCAATCTTTCACATATTCAAATGATTTTACTAGCTCTACACTCCATTCAAGTATCTCCATTTCCATTGCCAGCAAGTGAATTCTATTTATTTCTCCTTGACAAATACAAATAGGTCCTAATTGGTTTTACATATATACTCTTTGATCCTCCAGTTTATTTCTTGGAAGGTTTCCAAATGATTATAGTCATGTGCCCCATAATAATATTTTGGTCAATGATGGATGATAGTGAATATGAAATAGCCAAGATGTAAAGTAGGCTGTATCATTCAGGTTTGTGTAAATGATATTTGCACAATGGTCAAATTGCCCTAATGATGCATTTCTCACAATATATCTCTATCATAAAGTGACACATAATTATACATGAACTGAAAATTTATCCCATCAGGTCTCATAAAACTACTCAAAATCTTTGCATTGCTTAAAAATCAAAACAAAATTATTAGCACTAGGTAAGTGCTTCCTACTCTTTAGTCTTCTCCAGTATTACCTTCCCTTGTCCCTTTTCCTCTGTCCACGGCTTACTTCCAGGTCCTTGTTCTCAGTTCCATCCTACTGGTTCACCCACTTCACTTCCACATTTTCCTCAGCACTTGCTCAAAGTGCTTCCCCCTAAGGACTTTCCATATTCAAAAGCTTTCCTCATGACTCACTATACTTTCTACTAAAATGCTGCTCATTATAGCTTGTAATTTTGTTTGTATAGCTGCACGATAAATATCCATCTTCCAGTGAAGACTCCACACAGAATCTCTCACCAGCACAAAGGTTTGAGATTTATTTCACTGGATTCGATATAGGAATAAGTGAACAGATGTCCTTCTCTTCGTCTGGGAAGAGCTCTCAATACATCTCTCATATTGAGAACATACTGTAAGTAAAATTTAAGTCCATAGTAATCAATTAACTTGCTCTTGCTATCAAAGCTAGCTAATTCTAGTTAAATGTAACATTTAAATTATCATTAGCAATTTACCTCCCTATGAATTCACGAGCTTTGTATTGGAATAGTCATGTCCTCAGTATGAAGGACACAGAAGTAAATTTATTCCCAAAGATTGAGTTTTTTCTTCTGAAAGCTCACAAGCTAGTTTTCAAAAATGCTTTTCTAGACTTATGTCACTTAGTTTTACATAGCTATAGCTGCACCTTCCTCTTAGTCTGGGGTGCACGTCTTGGGATACACTGGCTTATTACTGAACATCATTTGTCTATGAGTTACCAGTATTTGGAAAGCCAGATGAGGCATAAATTGAAGCAGTAAAATGCCAAATAGTTAACATATGTATTATTGTTCAGGTTATGTAATCTTTATTAAATTCCATTTGTAAAAACTTCAATGAAAATATGGATTGTTGGTTTTTGTTTCTATTTGCAGCTCTGGGAAGCAAATCCAGGGTTTGATGCATGGCAAGTAAGGGCTGCACTTCATAATTTTTCTGTAAAATATGTTCAACAGGAAAACATACAATTAAGAAAAATAATGTGATTATTTCAGGGAGATCTGTCACTTAATTTGTGCTCGGTAATATTTATACTCACTTTGAGGTTTCCTTGGGCAGTGTTCACAGGTTGGTCATCTTTTAACCATGTAATGGATGGATTCGGAATGCCATTGGCTATGCACTGTAAGGTGACAGGCTTGTGTTTCACCACAACTCTCTCAGAAAGGCCTGAAGGCTTGATTGTTGGAGGAACTAGAAACAAGGAAAGATAGGATGGAAACCATAAGCATTCAGGTCAAACCCTTAAAAAATGTATGAAATCATTTGAATCTTTAAAATTTATAATATAAAAAGAATCCTTGTTTCAACAAACATAAAGTAATCTCATCTCACACATTAAATTTGTAATTTTATCATTCTTATGTATTCTCACAACTATGGATCATTATTTTTCCAAAGAATAAGCAAAATGTATTTGTGTTTACTAAATTCAACATGTTCATTCAACTTACACTTTTTGGTGCCTTTTTCCCATCACTACTGCCCCTGCCTTTCTCTAGAATCCATTAAATCAGACAGAGAATCCAGTAGTTTCTTTAACCACATGATCCTGTCCTAGCACAGTTGATTGATCATGGGCTTGTAACTTGCTTTAAACTGGAGGCAACTGGGAAACCGGACTATCTATATTCCATCATGGGGCCAGGACTAAAATGGCTAGAAAACAAGTTTGCCAAAATAGGGGAAGAATGTAGTTGACATTCATAGAAAACTAGTGGTGTCCAAACGGCTCTCCAGCTTTTTGTTCCAGTTCTTTCCTTCTCAAGGTCTGTGGGCAAATGAGACACAAGAGACACTGGCAGAGACTTGTCCCTGTCATTAGAGTCACAGTTATAATCCTTGTGTTCCAGTGCTTTGAACACACTTATATGCCCTGTGTCTTGAAATTATAATCTCAGCCTCTACTTCTGGAAATCATTCAGTTCATAAACACTCTTCCTTTGGGTTAAACTCTAAAATGCTGACAAAACCCCTTACCTCAGATATTGCTACCTGCCTCTTCTGTTCAGTTTGGTCCCACCTTCATAACCGCCATTCCATGTAGATGTAGATGATACTTCTTAACATTTAAATTCTGTCTAGATCTATTTACATTACACCTCTTGGTTGAGTCTGTCAGTTGAATGATTTAAACGCTGCTACTACTTAACTCTAATTTATATTTGTCATATCATTCCCCACAACTCAAGATAAACCCAGATTACTGAGCTATAGTTAGAATTAGATGAAAATGCATAATTAATGTGAAATGAAATCCCCCTGTCCCTTCATAAGCATACCATGAACAGTTACTTCAAATTCCTTCCTGTGTTCTCCAGCAGAGTTTGTTGCCACACACTGAAAAATGCCTGTGTCTGACATTTGTGCCTGAGCAATAACCAGTTTGCGTCCATTTAGTAACATCTTAAATCCATCTCTTTCATCAATTAGCTGACCATCCTTCAGCCACCTATAGAAAAAGAAAAAAAGAAATCTGGAAATTACATACTTATTTTTCCTATAAGATATGTTTTCTAAAGATAGATGGATAGATAGATAGATAGATAGATAGATAGATAGATAGATAGATAAACAGACAGATAGAGATATTCTCTATTGTGGTATTGCTTAATCTTCTAATTATTCAGTCTAAAATAAATTCTAAATGGAAGTAGAGGGAAAAGTAAAGGAGACCTGACCTGTCATGGAAGTTGGAACCTAATAACTTGGAATATATGGCAAAATTCAATATAAACCAGTTATCTGTATGCAGTGAGTTTCTTGTTATAAAGTGGTTTTACACTGCGGAGGGTGGATTTATGAGGGAAGCACAAAACAGAGAAATAAATGAAGTGAAATACTGTAGAAACAAGGTTGAAGGACAAAGTGTGATCACCCAAGCTTTGGGAAACTGAAGACAGGACAGAGATTGAAGAAGAAAGCAAAAGAATATTGAAGTAATCCTGAAGCTACAGACAATGTTCATTCACATGAAAAAAAAAAAAAAAAAAAAAGCAAGTTAGATGATCAAAAAAGGGGAAAAGACAAATAAAGCGAACAATAAAAGTAAAAACCTAAACAACTAAAGAAGAAAACAGAAAACACACAAAAAAATGAAAATGAAAGAGAATGTGTGTATATGAGAGAGAGACGGAGACAGAGACAGAGACAGAGATAGAGAGATGGAGTGACAGATGGAGAAATGGAGCGACAGAGAGACAGAGAGACAGAGAGAGTAATACATTTCCCTGGTGTACACAGTTCCCTGGTTGTCTTCAGGTCAAAGCCCGAAACTGAATTCTTCACTATTATACTAAGTTTAGGTTACAGATAGAAGGAAAAGCCCCTAAATATTTATTTGAATAACATATAATTATAACATTCTATAAATCAGTAAAATGCGCACAATTATAAAATATTTGTAAATAAAGCAATTAAATACGTATCTATAAATTTTTACATTTTTTGAGTGATTTTTACATTTAGTTCTATCCTTATATGTTGAAGTATCTAATTCTTCTAGTCATCTCACTGTTCCTTTGCACATTCCATCACCAGAAGAAGTGAAAGGTAAGTATTTGATAAATGCTTTGTGAATGAAGGAATAAGAAAGAATTAAAAGAACTGGCAAACACTTCTACATGATAACATCCTTTATGTCTCTAATTTTTCTGGTGTTCTTTTTACTTAGTAGAGTGATTTGGAAATTCTCACTCATTCTATTTTATAGTCTTTCTCCACTGATCATGTAATTTCTAAGATCATATGAAGGAATTTCTCCAATTGAACAAATTCAGGTGCCCTCTGAATTAAGTCAAAGTTGCCTTATAAGTAGAACTATCTTTTAAAAGAGGAATATAAACTTCCATTCTTTAGTGATACAGAAAGTCTTTTATGAAGTTCTAAAACATTCACATCAAAAGGTGGGAGGTATTTAGAAGACATACCAAAACCCTTACATGATAGCTGGTGGTGGAGAGCCTGTCACTTGGCAATCTAGCTCCAGTAAGTTATTAACTATCACAATGAAGTAAGATGTTTCCTCTCCTCCTTCTACAAAGGGTGGCACTAGAAAAGAAAAAAGGTACAACATATAAAGAAACATAAACAAGAAAAAAACACCAGGTCAAGCAACACTAAGTAGTAGTTTAGAAAATTAAGTCATCATAGTAACTCAGTATGTGAAAAGAATGTATTATTGACAAACATATTGTCAATAAATTTTATAATAAATAGGATCACTGAATGTACTTATGACATATTATGGATTCTTCTCTAACTAGTAAGGTGGTGCTTCTTATATCTTGCAAATATAAAATCGATTCATAGTTTAGATCGTTTATTTTCATCAGAGCATACAAAGAGAATCTCCCAAAACTGGGCCATCTACACAAAAACCTTCAATCTATGAGTAAAGTTATAGAGACCTGTGGTTGCAAGAGGGCAGGCATTCTTTCCTACTGTCTAACACACTACCCACAACATAAAACTACCTAGAGGCATGTTCCAATGAGATTTGTTATAGACATAAAAATGACCTGTTCTTCAACTACAAAGTCCACCCATTAAAATCAGTGGAAAATTTATGTAGGTTTTTTTGGGGGGGGGGCAGAGGGGACCAGGTATCAAACCCAGGCCCTCGCGCTTGCCAGGCAGGCGCTGTTCTGCTGAACTACAGAACTATTCTTCTACAGAAGAATAGTTCCCTGGCCCTATATAAGATTCTTGGTCTTGGCACTCTAGTGATAATTCACCTCTCAGTAATGTACAATCCAGACTCAAACACACAACTCTTCCTTATCTTAGATTGTTCTATTATTGTGTGACCAAAATCATTTCATAAAGTCCTAAGGTTTTGCTGCACATTTCCGACTCCAGGTCGCAGTATCATTATTTACCTAGGACATCAACGTCATATTTGATTTCCTTTTCTCCTGCCACACTTGTAGCCACACACACGTACTGTCCCTGATCAACTTCCAGGGCACTCAGGATTTCTAGCTTCTTCCCACCGGCTTCGACACGGATGTTGTCACTGGCTTTCACGGGGACACCATCTTTTAACCAAGTGAGAGCCGGAGGAGGGTTGCCAGCAGCTTTACACTCCAGAGTCAAAGAATGAGCAACGACAACTTGCTTATTCAAAGGTATTGTTGAGTCACCTTCAATCACAGGGGGAACTAGGTAGAAAAACAGTAATGTCTCAAGCAATGTTTTGTGATGTCATGAAGTATATTCTAGGGAAATACATCCTAATGAAATACAGGAGAGATTATATTTCTGACAGTTTAACCATAGAAACTACAAACATTGCCCTCCTCTAGGAGGAAGGTCTCTACAGGAAATAATTTTTTGGTTTAGCTAATATTCTAAACATTCTGGAATACTTTATATTTTTAGGCTAATAAAGGTCAAATAAACTACTACTTTACCTTCCCCATAAGAAACAAAAGTTTGTATGTTCTGAGTCCCATGGGCAAATATTAGTCAACTGAATGAAATACTTTTTGCTAATCTCAGCTTTGGTAAACATTTTAAAATCCTAACATACTTAGCCCACTCTGTCCACACATATTGACAAAAGGCAAACCTATGAAGCTTTATTAGTGGACAAGGTGCACAATTCAAGCACATAGATTTCCTCACCATAGACGTCAACATGGAATGATTTTTCAGCAGTGCCAGCCACATTGGTTACATGACAGGTGTATGTTGCTGAATCAGAGACTTGTGCTTGGGGAATATGAAGGAATTGTCCCTTATCAATATAAAGTGCTTGTGAGCTGGATCTGACTAGTTGGCCATCCTTATACCAAGTAACAGCTGGCACTGGCAGTCCTCGGGCTTCACATTCCAGTTTGATTCCGCTGTTGATGAGTGCTGACACTTCTGCAGTAGCATTGCCTCCTTTAATGCTGGGTGGAACTACAAAAGATGGCAGAGCAAAAGCAGGTCTTCTAAGTTTAGTATCTGCATCAAAAGCTTCAAAGCTAGAGATGTTTATATAATGGATTTAAGTACAAATTAAGACAGGAAGTTTGAGAGTTCTGTGCTGTTACTTAGTTGCCTATCTTGTCAGTCAATCCCTAACAACTCTTTTATTGAATTTCAAATTTCAATAAAAACTATAAATCACAGATTCAGTTTCAGAAGCTCATTTAAGTCCAATAGATCATATTCCAGTAACTAAGAGAGTTAAGTCTAACAAGTAAAACAGAATAAAATCTCACTTAAACACTTAAGTTTGAAAGCTGGCCAGGACAGCAGTGGTACAGTTGTGTGTCCTATTCTCATGAACTGCAAGGTCTAAAGCTAAGTGATCCTAGGGCCAGTACTGATAACAGATAACCATTCATTCGGCTCATCTAACTGACGACATGTGAACCTTCTGTAATTCAGAAGCCCCAATGCCTGCCCTCTCCCACCACACAAGGGCTGTGTTTTTGGAAAAACATCTCAAGTTGCTCAATCTCTAATACATATTCTGAACATGGTCATTTAGAATTGGTCCACCATTGCAGCAATTTTAAAGAAATCAAATTGCATATCCAAATTGCATTTTCTGAATATGATTTCAATAAACTTTTTAAATTTCAGAATAGGTTGTTTTATAGAATGTCTTTCTTATGGATAGACTAGTACTCTGGGTATTGTGAGGAAGACCACAGATTTTCAGCACTGTTCTCACAACTTAGAAATACAAGTTATGAAAGTAACTGATCACTCACTGATAATGTTAACTTTGATGATTTGGCTGAGATAATATCTGTCAGATGTCTCACTACTAAGCTACTCCTTTCTTTTCCTTTTTGTTAGAAAGGAGTCACTATTCCCTCCCATACATGTATCAGATGGGGAGTTATATCCTTTCTGAAGGGGCAAATAGCTACAGAATTTATTTAGAATTCTAAGTGGGACATGTATCCTTAACCCCAGTTCATTTACTTATATCAATATGGACTCATAAAAACTCACATTTTCTGCTTAGGTTATAATCCATACTACATTTATCCAGTTTTGTCAACAGAATCTCTCAGTAGGCTCCTGTGCACATTTGGCATAATTACGTCATTTTAAAATTTCTTTGTATTTTCTTAATTTCTGTCACTGTTATATGTGACATGGTCATCTTGTATGTTCCCTGCCCAAGCCATAGATTTAGCCATTTCTCAGGAAATCCTGGTTCCTTTCCATAGATGTTAGAAAACAAGATTTCAGCTGCAGTGGATACCCTGATGTTTTCTGGTAATCATCCTTAGAACTCCTTTCCACTGATGAGCAGTCATATATACCTTTTGTTGGTAAATATAATGGAAGTCATATTCTACTATACTTTGAGGTGACTTTAACAGTGTAATGACTTTCTGTACTATGGTTTACAGTTTAGGGACCAGTCACCTACAAAACACAGGTCAGGAAATGCTGAGCTGAAGCTATCTTTACATTTCTGATGTTTGGGAAAATATATTGCGGGATGTAAAAATTATATGAGTTTCAAACTTCACTGTCTGAAATAACCTGATATTGGAATACAGTCACATTCCTTCATCTGTGCATGACTATTTTCACACAACAGTGGTGAGAGTTAAGTAATTCCAAGGAGAACTCATGTGGCACTCTCACTGCATCTACTGCTGTCTGATTTATCATAAATTTCCGCGACCCAGTTGTGACTTGACAGCATTTCAAGTGTCACCCATAACATCAGACTGTGATATTTTCACAGGGTGTACTACTCATGACAAAACAACAGGAAAAGACAATAATGAATTTCAAATACGAAACTAAGGCACCATGTAGTGTGAACTATTTCATTATCAAATTATAGAGAAGAGCTTTGTATTTATTTTGCAATAACACTACAACTATTCTAAAAGAATAAACGCTTAGTGTAAACAATCACTGCAGTAGTCTCAATTCAAAGAAAGCAAATGCTTGAAAAACAAAAATATGCAAAATGTCTCACCATACACAGAATTTTTTCACAAAATTAAAGGTAAAAACTGAAGATACTAACAAAGTACATTTCTGAGTATCTTACTTGTCAGCCAAACAAAGAATGCCATTTATCCATCCTGATTTGATTAAGTCCTGATTTGATTAAATCATATGCTTGTGAACTGATGTGTTAGGCAGTACTTGTGTGGGTGAAAAATCATTTGCAGAGGAGAAATAAGTAAAATCTCATTATAATCACCATTAACAGGTGAACATTTCCAACAGAGTTCGAAAACAGGGAATACTAAATTTCATCCGAAACTAAGTGAAATCCCCACCCCCATAATTCCATCCTTCCCATTAGTAAATTATTAATAAAATTGCAATTTAAAAATTTAAAAAGAAATTTCATCGATGGACAATGTATTTTGTAGACATACACCGGCTGTTATAAGTATCTGTATAACATTCTTTTTTTTTTTTTGAGGCTCAAATGCTTTTAGGGCATTTCTGGTTTTCAGTAACTGTCTGGGTTCAAACCAAAGAAGCTTGAGCTTGAGGGCTTTGCTTAAGCAGGCACTTAAACAACTGAACTACTGGGCAGGCCCCCTCTGTATAACATTCTTGATGGAGCCTCATGATCTACATGAGGCCTAAAATATTTATTATCTTGCTTCATACAACATTTGCCAAGTACGCATAATTAATACAAATTTGACCCACCATTTGGAAATCTCCATCATGTGTATTTTACTTCAATTTGAGATTTTTACAGTTTGTTAATCTGTTACGTATATATCAAATTTTTATCCACACTGCCTAAAACAACTGGGAAGTCTAATTAGATGAGACATTATAGGGTCACAAGTGTTGGTATAAACTCCTCCCCTTGTGAATATTTTTCAAATGAATATCATTTGCAGTGAAGCTACTGTAATAGTTTACACTTATCAAGTTGAGAAAAATTACTCAGAGAATATTTGAAGTGGATACCAGAACAACATCTCATCCTCTGCTTAAGTCTGACAAATAGATGCTTCATTTTCATTTTATTGATAAATATTTGCCAGAGAACTGTGCTTCTATTTGGGGGAGGACATTACTGATATAGGCTATAGATGCACTGCACATTGAAATGGACCACTGCACGGACACGCCAACATTTTTATACTATTTAGGTTTTCTGTTTTGTTTTTTTGCAGAACCGGGGATTGAACTCAGACCTTTGCACTTGCCAGGCAAGCACTTATTCTACTGAACTCTCTCCCCAGCCCCCATTTTTATACTATTTATGGAGGCTCTCAAATGTTAAAGCCTACCCATGGTCTTCAAGTTAAGGACAAAGGTCTCAGACGATAAGTTGTTGATTCGCACAACTTGCCATTGAACATAAAAAGTTCTTTCAAATTACTTTTATCCCCTTTTCTCCCATTTTCTCTTTCTCTGTATCTCTTATTTTTCCCTCTCTCCTATGCTTTCTCTCCTTCTTTTTGATGTTCATATCTATCTTGCAGCTGTACTGACCCACTTGCTTCACCTCATGTCAGTGCACAAATTAGGTAACTAGCCCCCAACTTTAGTGTGAAACATACACTCACTCTGAAATATATATATATATATATATATCTCCCTTACAGTTCTCCAAAGCAAGGTGTCTGGTTTTTTTTCTTATTTTAAGAATGAAACATTTTCACAAAGGAAATAAAGTAAGCTAAAGATTATGCACTTGGAAATACATAAGAGCTTGCTAGAGAGGAAATGGTATGGTTTTCTGAATTACAGCACTAGAGACTTCAAAATATTACAATTACTTTCACCTCAGATCCTCTCAGAAGCCTTCTGTTCTGAATGCCCGAGGACATCGTACAGAGCAAACAAGGGGATCTTAAAAGAAAGAGCCCAAGTCCCATGGAAATAAGCACCTTACTGAATCACCAACATGTATTCATCACAGGCCCTGGCAATGATACCACACTGAGGAGAAGGCTACTCAACAGCTTAGGGAAACTATTGTACCTATTGCTTAAATGCCTGGCCCTGGTAGGAGGCCAATGGTAGCGAGAACACTTTGTTTAACTTGGATGTTTGTACAGCTAATCTTTCAATTATGTTATCCATTCTTAGAGGACATGTCTTTTCATGACTGCTTTCTTCTGTAGAATTCTACTTGTAGAAAGAAATGACTTTGAACTCTGAAGTAAACATTTCTTTCATTCACAGCTTAAATAAAGAGCTAGAGAGATAGGTTGGCAGTCTAAGCACCTGTCTGGCAAGCTCAAGGACCTGGGTTCAATCCCCAATACTACATGCTGTGCTGGCCACTGAAACATTTGCAAAGGAATATGTGAAATGCAGTTAATTTATATAGAAATAAAGCAAATATATATTATATATACATATACATACCTTATATATAGTATATAAACTACAGATTTTATATATATGTATATATATATACACACAGTTTAAGGGTAAGGTAGTCACTAAGTACTGAAAAATGAATACAGATCTTACTATAGGCCAAGTAATCCATAGGCATAGTATTTAGAAGTTTATTTTTACAATAGCATCATTTATAGTCATTATTATTATCATCCCCATTTAATAGCTGAAAAACTGAAGTTCTGAGTGGTTAGGCAATTTAGCTAAAAATCACAAAGCTACGATTTGTAAATGGCAGAGGCTGTCTCTGAACACAAGCTTCTCTGTCTCAGAGGTTCAAATTCCTATTAATTATTCAACCAATACTATCTAACAACACTATGATACAAATGCCATCTATAATTTAAAATTACTTCTAGGCACATTAAAAGTATAAGAAAAAACCAATGAAATTAATTTAAATAAGACAATGTATGCTTTTCCTAGTTTAATGCATCCCAAACACAATTTCAGCATGTAACCAATATAAATCATCATTAAATGTATTATTTTCACATTAAGTTCTTGATATCTGGTGTGAATTTTGTACTTAGAGCACATTTAAATTTGGACTCAATAGCCACATGTAGCTAGCTGCTACCATATTAGACAAGTTTAGATTCTAGGAAAACAAAAAGCTAATAAGGAGACCACTCATTCATTTGAACAAATATGGTAGTTCCTAACTATTTCAAGGTTCAACTTTTGTGGACTCCTGTTTCATGGGTTCTCAAAAAACATTCATCTAAATTATTTATCACCAATTTTTCGCTATGTTGTGGGATTTTTCAGTACTGTACAGTATATATATGTTGTTAAAATTATGTAGGTTTATGAGTTTAGAAGATGGTGAAGAACATTAGAAGTGTTTTTAAAAGGTTGGAATGGCTTATAAGAATATGGAAGGATTGAGAAAGCCTTAAATATATATAAATACTAAAAAAAATAAAGCGTCACTATTTTGCTGATTTGCACTTTTTGTGGAGGTGTCTGGAACGTGACCTCCACAGGTAGTGGGGGGGCCCTGTATCTCTTGAGAGTTAACTATACACCAGACAGTAAAGTCAGCAATGCACAAAGTAAAAGCTGGTTCTTATGAAGTTTAGGTTCTAGGAAAACAAAAACTAATAAGTAGAACAACTGAAAATTAATCAAAGACAGACAATTATAATTACTATGAAGAAAATGAAATACTATAATGTGATAGTGCGTAGGTGGCTGTTCGACTTGGAAAGATATACGAGGAGAGGACGTAGCAAAGTGTCAAACTGTCGCTAAGCATCACACACTATGGGAAGGGAAAAGACAGCGTGGTGAGGGAGCTGACACATAGTGTGGGCCAAGAACAATATTCTGTTCCTTCTAGTGCGTACATCTTTGTGGGTGCAACAAATCTTAGGTATCTACTTATAGCTCCACTGGTAAGAGCTAAGAAGACTGACAGTCACTTCATCAGAAATGCGCGTACGTATGAGGGCTATTTTGCTTTTACTTTGGGGACATCTTCAGAGAAAAGAGAAGTACAGCCATATGACATTTAAAATATTTCCAGGTGGCCTGAATAAAATGCAAGAGGAGACGAAAAGAGAGCAACTCAATTACACAATGTCAACGTCCTCATACTTGATGTATCACCATAGATTTTTAAGTCTTTTTCCATTCTTTCAAAGATACAGGCATGTAATTTATGTTATTAGTCAATTAGGAAATTCTCATAGGTGAGATCGCATAAAAATCATGAAACTACTTTAATAGATCCATACTTGTAAAATAGCTTGAAGTTGCATGCAGTGTGTTAACAATACGACATAAGCAGCATCCCAAAGCATTCGTTATGGAAGAAAACAGCACTGAACACCAGAGGTAAGCCTGACTGCCAACTTACAACAGGAGCTGATGATAATAATCGAAAGAAGAGAAAAGCATACTCACTGTAGACAGTCAGTTTTATGTCCTTGGCTTGTTTGCCAGCGGCGTTAGACACAGCACACTGGTAGCGCCCCTTGTCATTTCTTCGCGCATTCTTCAGGTGTAAAATTTGTCCTTCATCTAAAAGTTCAATGTTAGGATCTCCCAAAAATAAAGGCCTACAAAAAAAATAGTCCTTTTCTATGAATCCACTTTTTATGCCCCATATTTTCCTCTTATTCATTACAACATTAATGCACTATTAAATAAATAATACACTGAATCAAAGTTAATAAAAATGGCAATGGTGTAACTCAGAAAAATAAAATTTTTAAAGCACTTTATGAATAGTAGTTAATTACCACTGTGGCATAAAATGTTTCTCCACTTTAATCTTAAATTGTTTAATAACATTTACAGAAATTTGATAGGATCATAATTTCCTTCAGTTATTCATCCATTCTTATTCTTTTTAAAATTAAAAAAAAATTTTTGCATAGGCACAATTTCTACCATCATCTGGAAAAGAAAAACTCAGTTTAATATTACAGTATAGGAACTTCAAGCCAAGCAATATTATTTTTAAGCTAATATCATCATGTATCTGGAAAAATATTCATAATAGGATTAATGGCTATTATGCACTTTAGGCAGTGACTGCCAACTTCTCTAAAAAGTAGGTATTATAATAAATATGAATGCTTCTACTATTATAAGTACTGAAGGATTTATGTCCAAGAAAGGCTCATAAATAGTAGTCAAGGAAGAATTTTCCAATAAAAAAAAGCAATTTCCAACGGAAAAAGGTTAACTTCACATAACTGGCAAGAGTTTTACTTCAGGGCTTAAAACATCATGATAATTGAAGTCTATGCTATTCTAAGAATCATACCTCAAAAATCCATTCATTTTGTTTCAGGAAAATCCATAGCTAGTTTTTATAAAGCTGTAATGAATAATTACAGCCACATAATGAATAATTAAATGCTCTGCTCTACTAATAAGGCACTAGCTGGTCTACAAAATTAAATAAACATTGAATTTCCTAAGGGTTCATCCTTCGCTGTTTCTTGGTATGACAGTTTGTATAACGATCTCAAAAGTTAAGAGAGTAAAGTACCTTAATTTAATGCTTTTTAAGTTTTTAAGAGGAGGGAATATGAAATTTATGGAATTTTGAAACTTTTATTAGTTATTAATCATGTAATTATCACAAAAAATTAAACAAACAAATGAAAGCATTAAAATGGAAAAGGTCTTCTACCCCTAGCATGAGTTTTCTCTCTGACTCCTCCAAATAATCAGCCTGGTTTTTATTCTTCTGCATATTTGCAAAAACATTTTCACTCACTAATGCAGTTCCAAACCAACCCACAGCCTCAACTCTACATCATGCTGCTTGCGTCATGCTGTCTTTCTGATTTTCTTTTCCTCTGTAACACAGCTATGGGGACATCTGTGGTATGTATAGCTTGATCTTAATCTTTTAAACTGCTGTATGGTATTTCGTGATATGACTATGCCACAAGTTACCTTAACTATCGAGTCCCCCAAGATCAGGCTTCAGCCAGTTTTCTCTTTTCTGACAACACAACTGCACTGAGGGAGCCTCCCTGAGACACACACAACTAACTCACTCTCCTGGACACTGCAGGCATAAATGCTGCAGCATAGCAAATGAGCATTCCCTTCTAAGAGATTCCAACAAATCGCCTTTCAGGGCATTAATTTACTTTCTCCCTATCAGAATTAATGCTTTCCTATACTCTAGTCAAGACTTGATATTGTCAATTTTTTTATTTTTTCAATATAATGTGTGAAAAGCAAATTATATTTCATTCATATTTATCAAGTGTTGAACACAAGAAATTTAATGTATTTATTGCCTATATATTTTAATTTCCTGTTCATAATCCATTCTTATGCTGCCTTACTTATTGATTCATAGAAAAATTGAACATAACTCTTTTTTTTTTTGTACTTAGGACAGGGTCTACAGGGTTATACTATGCAGGTCGTACTCTTAGAGATTCTCCTGTTTTCAGCTCCCAAGCACAGGATTACAGGTGCACACCGCCACACCGTCTCAATCGCAGTCTCAGCCCCCCCTAGGGGCGGGCCCAGCATGGCACACCCGGGAATTGAACCTTGGCTGCTCTGCTCTGCCTAAGCAGGCACTTTAGTCCGCTGAGGTTTCAGGCTGATCCTTGAATATAATTCCTTATTCCATACACTGCAAATCTTGACTCTGCCAGTTAGTCCATCAGTGCCACCTCTCAGACACTGTAATAATACAGAATCTGTGGCAGCAGCATGAGAAATTAGGTCTCAAACCAATATGGGGCTGGCCAAGTAGCTCAGTGGATTAGCCAGGGGTTCGAGCCCCAGGTCTTCCGTGTCTGTTTGGCCTCCAGGATTTGCTGAGATGGCAATCAAGACTGGGCGTGGTGGTGCACTCCTGTAATCCTAGCACTTTGGAGGCTGTAAGCAGGAGAATCAATACTAGTTTGATCTAGTAGTGAGACCCTCGATACCCTGTAGACCCTCCCTTATAATACAAAAACAAAAAACAAATATGGATCACTGAAGCCACTTCAGTTTGAGAAAACACTGTAACTCCTGAGACTTGATTGCTTTTCTTTCTTTCTTACTTTTTTTTTTTTTTTGCCCAGGTATAGAATTAGCTTAAATATTCATCTTGCCATTATAAACACATTTTCATTTGTAATAACTCAACTCCATGTAAAATCATTGTCTTTGCATTTGAGTCTTGCATTTATCACTGTTGGTCTCTGGACAGAACTTGTTTAGTGTATAATACGTTTCAGTTACTCTGTTTCTAAAATAAATTCCTTTATAATTCATAAAAAATGAAATACTTTAAAAAACTTTAAGATTGTTTCTGAGCAATATTACTTTTTCACTCATGCTCATTTAATACTCTTTTGTGACAACATCCTTAAAAAGGAGAAGATCCACACGCAGTTATGCGTGTTTCCTATCTGTGAGAGCCTTGCAGCCATCACAGAAGAGATACTCACTTGCCATCTTTGAACCACTGGATGCTGGGGAAGGGAGAGCCTCTCACTTGGCATTCAAGGGTGGCGTTGTGGTTGACGATGGCAGACACTTCATTTGGGGAGCTGGCACCTATTATGCTGGGTGGAACTTGAACAAAGACATTTTATCATGAAAAATCTATAATTTACTTAAAAGAACTGGAAGAAGACAGGCAGACAGTCAATGAGCTCTAGAATATTTCAACAAAGTTTTAATCTAAATGGAAATAAATATTACAAAGTAATTCTTTTTCATGTCATGCCTCTTTACCCAAATGTTAAATTTCAATACCAGAGAACAGTCAGGAAGTGTTTGCTAGCAGGGAAATTATTTACAAGAATGACACTATATCCATTTTGAGGCACATTAAGCTTCAGTGCAAGGATTTTAAAATATAAATATATGGGGAGGTTCACAGAAGGTAATTATTGTTATATTTTTGCAATAAATAGCATAATCTTCATTAATTTTATAATGTTCAAAATCTACCTATCATATGTCATGTCTAACTTTATCTCTTATAAAGTGCTTCTCTGCTAAAATTGCTATAAGATGTACCATGAAAAAGAACATGTTAGATTTTATTCATAGAAGTACAACTATTTTAACAGACTCCTATACACTTCCATCACTATCTCACCCTCCCCTTCATACTTGATGAAAAGTGTTTGATTTTCAGCTTCAGAAAATGATGAGCCATGAAGGGCATCCTAAGGAAGGGGTGTAATGTGATAAGGTATGCTTAAGACCACAATGGCCTGGCCACTGAGTGGATCACAGTGGCAGAGTGGACATACTAGGGAGCAGTTAGCAGGGCTATTTACTACATTAATTCAGGGGTTTACTTTCTCAAAGGAATGGAAAAAAGAAGATAGTTTAACATATTTTAGGAAGCAAACCTAACAGGACTAGGCATTCGGTGGCAAACCACTAAGATACTAATTTTTAAATAGTATATTAGGCATCTGCAGCTAGAGGTCTGTTATGGTTTGTATCTAGTTGTCCTCCCAAAGCCTCATGTAAGTTTTGGGGCAGATACAGCTGGAGGAGCAACGAGCCTGTGCTTTCTTTTTCTTTTTCTTTTTCTTTCTTTTTTCTTTCTTGAAACCTCGAGTAACTGTGAGCTAAATAAACCTTCCTTCCCTTATTTTGAGTGTTGGGTATTCGTCCCAGCAAGGAGAGAAGAGTAACTAGACAAGGTCATAGAAGGAATATGAGCTGGGTAAAAATTGGAGTCATCAGCACACAGGTGGAAGGAGAGTCATGGGAAGACGGAAGGATAAAAGCAAGGAGTGCCAATGAGACTAGCAATAAGACAGACTATTGCATTTGTTTATAGATACTAAAAATGGTGATTATGAGGAAAAGAACAAAAAGTACTTCAGGCTTAGAGGAGAATACAACTTCATGTTGCAGTAGGTTATGAATGTGAATTTATATGAATGCTAATTTTAACTTAGGCTATCTAAGCTGAACTTCCACTAGAGATTGTAAATTATATGCCCATTTTGAAAAGCAAAGTACTGGAGAGAAAATCATTTTATTACCAAATAAACTTTCAAGGTTCACATAATTTCACTGACCAAATTTTAAGATATTAAATTCATAATTGAAACTGAAATATTTTATGTCATAATTTATTACATCACTACCTGTCTTAAAATCCTCTCCTCCATCTCCCCATTCTCCCTGTTCTAAAGCTTCTCTTTCTTTAATTGTACTGAGGGATGATTTAATTACAAGAATTAATTAAAACGCAAAGAAAATGGATTTGCTCCCCTCTGTAATTCAAGTACATCGTACCCACCTCCAGACATGTCCAAAGCACGAAAGATTTACATTCCATATCACAGAGCTATATAGCTACTTTCCACAAAAGTATTTTGTCCTCAGCTAACTGGAGAAATTGACAAGCACAATAATTTTCTATTTTATATGAGGTAGCATCAGTTTTGGGAGTAGGATACTTTGGGACCCATGACTCAGAGATATCTCTGTATTTTAAATAAAACTATATATATCATATGGAACTGATTCACCAATATTGAAAACAAAAATAATAATAGAGAGAAACACATGGTATTTTTCTGTTAATTTATTTTTCATGTGTTCACTTTGTCTAGAGTCAATCCTACGCAGTGTCAGAAATGCAAGGGAATTGTAGTTTTTCAAAGAATGTTTTCCTTACCTAGAACTTCCATAGTAAAATGCTTCTGAGCTACGCCAGCAATGTTAACTGCTTTGCAGGAATATCTCCCTGCATCCTCTGCCATGACTCTGAAAAGCTTTAGAATTTTCCCATTGTTCAGAATCTGAATAGTGCTGCTTTCAGTCACCTATAAAGGCCAAAAGGGTCAGTGTCACTTTGTTCCTATGAAAGATGTATAACTAAAACTTCAAATAAAATGTTTATATTTTTATTATGAAGAAAAATTCACATCTGAGCAATTTTTTTTCAGGTGCAGAGGAAAGGAATTAGATACACACGGATGTCTCCATTTACCTGCACATCGTCCTTGTACCAAGTAATCGCGGGTGATGGAGTCCCTTCCACTTCACAAAAGAGACTGGTCAGCTGATTTAGCAGCACTGACACATTTGCTGTGTGTTCCCTATCTTTAATTACTGGAGGAACTTCAAAAAGAGGTAAATTAGGATATGATAATCTTGTAATGAATATGATAAAGTTTCTTTATTAAGTCTAATAGAAAGCAAATTCTGAGATAATGTAATACCTCAAGAAGCTAGTCATATTGAAGCATATGTTCTATGATAACATGAAAATTCTGAACTACGTCATGATAAATTACAATCTGGGGTTGGGGAGATAGCTCAGTGGTCTAAGCGCCTGCATACAAAGCACAAGGACCCGGGTTTGATTCATGGTACCACAGGCAATACTGGCCCTGGAACCCCAGGCACATTGTGCTGGACCAGGCACCTGGTGTAGTGATGCATGCCTATAATCCCAGTGCTGGAGAGGCTGAGACAGGAGAGTCACTATGAGTTTGAACTGCACTGCAAGATCCTGTATCAAATAAGTAAATAAATAAATAAATAATTCTTAAAAATTCCAACTGATTTGGGATTTTTTGGTACCAGGAATCAAACTCAGGACTTTGTACTTTCCAGGCAGGTGCTGTGCCACTGAGCTATATCCCCAGCTTGATCTCACTGAATTTTATATCTCATTAGTTCAGGGTTTTGAATTTGAGATAAATTGAAAAGAAAATCTATTTACTTCACAAGTAGATAAAAAGGCAAGCTGCTAGCATCCTCATTTAATTCACACAGGATATTTTTTGCTGATAGAGCTGAGTATTTCCCAGCATCTACTGAAGCCAGGATTCATCAAATTTTCCTTATGTAAAATGATATTTGTACAAGATTTTCATTTAATGGTCATTTATGGTAACACACAACTGGTACCCAACGTAAATGCTCATCATTTGTAGAGGAAGATTAAATAAGTCGTAGTATAATCATACTGTGGGATGCTACTGATAGGAATAGAGGATCTCAAATAATTCTTTAGATTGTTTAGCAAACAGACTAGGTGGAGAGTAATGGTATAAATTACTACTACTTGTGTTCCTTTTATAAGTACAAAAAGGATAAATTATTATAGATGTATAGTTCCTGATGAGAGACATCACACATACACAGACGCACATATTCAAACACAGGTACGTGCACAAAATAAATAACTTTCTTTGCCTCTATCCAGCATAACCAGACGGCTCATCACACAGGAGCTTATCACTGTGTATCTTTTCCTATCACTCGAAGTTCAAAAGATATTAGGTCACAATAAAACACTACATGAAATTTTATTTATTTATTTATTTAGGCAGAACCGGGGATTGAACTCAGGCCCTTGCGCTTGCCAGGGAAGCGTTTATTCCGCTGAGCCATCTCCCCGGCCCCTACATGAAATTTTAAATCAAATAAATGAATGCAACCAGACCATTTGTTTTCTGTTAAATACCTCTATTCATGTTAATGTTGAATAATACTACTTTGAGGACATCATTTAAATACGTAAGAATTGAGACTGCACATACTCAGTTATGCTTTTAGCACTGTGTGAGAGTTTACCGTGGACTTCGAGGTTGTATTTTCTTTCTGTAGTCCCAGCCTCGTTGACTGCCACACAGATGTACTCCCCATTGTCATGTGGTGTGACAGAAGCTAAGACTAACAGTGCATCATCTTCTAAGATAGAAATGCCGGGCTCTCTGCCTGTTAATTCTCTACCATTGCGCAACCACTTGATGGTTGGTTTAGGAATACCTAAAGGAAAATTAAAGCTTTCTTAAAACAAAGTTTACAATTATTTTTTAAATATCCAATACATGAAGGACAAATGATCCTTTTTAGGGATAAAATTTGTATCCTAACAAAGGTCTATGCTACTTTTGAATTATTTCATCTGACATGGAAACTTGAAATGATTATTGCAATTAATGCTATTAATTAATGCCTCATCTGTCTTAAGACAGATGGTTTCTAGTATAAATTTTAATGAAGCTATTTTTATCAAAACACTTGGATGATCATAAGAAAAACATTGTCTTGGTGAAACCACAATGAATAGTAGGTTAAGAAAACTGTACCACTCAAATTATTAGATACGGGGAAAGTTTGACAGTGAAATCCATAAGACAGTATTAAGAATCCTATTATAAGATTTAAAAATATAAGAGAAGGACATATAATCCAGGATGAATAGAAAAGTATGGTAGCAACACCTAGAACATGTCATTGGGCTAAATTCACACTGAGTTAAGGTCTTATAAAAATGAGTAGGAAAGTCATATTTATGAGGAAAGTAAAGCAAAAGACTAACTTCTTTATGCTCATAGTAAATTACTGGCTAATGAAGAAAATATAGTGAAACAGATGGATTCTAGTTATCCGTACAAGTTTTAAAGGAAACAAAGGCTATAATCATTTTCTTCATCCTCGTCATTCCTTGAAGGATTCAGTAGACCTCTTAAGTAATATTTGTTGAGTTAATAAATAAGAAAGAAAATAAAAGAAAGAAGTAGCACTTATCTTTAAAGACAATAGAATAAGCCATGATCAAGATAAAATTCACAGCAAAAATAACTAGCCTTGTTTAAATGAACTTGCAATATATTTCAGGTGAAAATCAAGAACTAGAACAAGATGGCTTTTCCAAGTGCAAAGGGAAGTAAAGACAAGCTTGAATGGAAAAGGGGGAAAGATCCATAGAGAACAAGAAGCAACAGTTCTGGGGCAGGGTCTCAGAACAGAGAGGACCTTCAGTAGCCACCTGGGCTTACATCTTCCTAAAGAAGCTTTCCTTTCCAGAACTTTCATTGTGCATTCTCAACGACTCTGAGTTATTGATAATTCTTAGAATCTGAAAAGTGCAGTACATTGTCTTTCTTTAAAGGTGTTGGAGTAAATTCTGGTGACAGCTACTATTGGATGTAAAAGTTTACTGAAGAAATGTAGACCCCAGGATTGGTTGTCCCCAGAGAAACAACTCCAAAAACAGGAATGTGAGGGAGTAGGAATGGTACTGGCCACTGAGAGCCCTCCAGGAATTAAGGAAAGAACAGTATTTGAACTTTTCTAGAGATGCTACAAATTCCATTTGAACTACTGCAGATGAATGCTCAAGTGAATAAGAGGATGGTCATACACATGGCACCCAGAGGATAGGTGATAGTTGTGGAACTTCTTTTATACTCTTCTGAAAAGTAACAGTATCATTCTCCTGCCAGGAAGCATGGTGGGACAGATAGTCCAAAAATTTCCAAGAAAAAAGTTATAACATAGCCCTAGAACTACAAGTTGAGAGAAGAAATAGCAACAAAAATTTTGGAAGAATGTCCTGAACCAACAGGGATAATCTTTAATTTATATCTCTACCTAACTGAGATAAACGTAGAATATTTTGAATACCTCTATCTGTCACAGTTTGAGGAGAAATCTTCCCCAAAACAAGAGTAAAATAAAAAGTAATAAGAAGAACATGAACTATCTGCAAAACATATTAGATGAGGCAGGTTTGAAAGAACAGAGGATTTCCCCATTGAAGTAAATAAAATACCTGGGAAGGAAAAATACCTATTCAATAAACTGTTGTTTGAAAGGAGAGAGGTTCTATTATGCTCAAACATTATAACAAAAATTGACAAGTGAAATTTTATAAAGATGGTGTTTTTGTAATACAAAATTCTGAAACAATATTATATCCATACCTATAACTCTTGAGTATTACACACCTTTAGTGGGACATGGAAATACAACGCGCTGATTGGCCACTCGTTCTTGAAATGGAGTGTTAAAAGGTGGTTCAAGATCTTCCATTGTAGGTGGTTCTATTAGAAAAATAAATGCACTATCAAAAGCTTTCCTTGGACAATTTCAAGTCTCTTATGGCATCATCAACCACTTGGACTAGTGAATTATTATTCCTCCTGATTCTTCTTTATATATGACTCATATTAAGAGCAGTGTGATCTTTCTACATACATGTGACCCAAGGGCTTAAATATCAAAATTTCCCAAACAAAATTCATTACTTTAGGTTTCTTATGTTCCATTCTGATTCTCTTATTTCTTCAATTAAAGCATCATAGTACCCTCATTCCTATTTTTTTCTTTTAGTCCTGACCGACATACCCATCCAATCACAGGATATCATATATTTTTATATGATATCCTGTGATTGGATGCAGATATATATATATCTGCATCTTATTCTCTATCCTTACAACCTCTGCTTGTCTCAAACCTGGACTTTTTTTTTTCACCAAACTTGTATCAGTAGCTTTCTTATTGCACTTGTACTATCAAACATACTTTCCTTTGGAATGATGCTCAACCCAGCCTGCATAATATTCTCTTTGAAACCCAAGTCATTGTTTATAGTTATTAGAAGATTATTATATAGATGCCAATTTTCTTGCCTTGATTATAAACACAAATGCTTAATAAGATTTGTTGAATGGATCAATGAACTAGACAAACTCTCCATTCATGTTGTAGCCACGCATTAAATAAACAAAAAAAATTGTGGTGTGTGTGGTACTAAGGACAGCACCAATATTGCACCTGCGTATTTTTTCTTCTTGTCTTTGTACTCATACTGGCTTGGAGAGGAATGCTCTTTCCCACTGGTTCCCTCACATCTGATTCCTTCCAATCTATGAAATGCTCTCTAAATATTACCTTTTCAAAGCAGCCCTCTGACGACCCAACCTAAAGAATCAACTTCTGCAGATAGCACCCCATTTAAATTTTCTAGACTGTACTCATCTATTTGTCTTTTTTCTTCACTTTCTGGTTGTCTGCCTACTCAGACAATGACAGGTCATGAAAACAAGGGTTTGCCTTTGTTATTACTTTCTTACTCCTTCCTGCCACATATTGGAACACTTACAGGAGCTCAATAAATATTTGCTGCTTAAAGGTATATATTTTGTCCTTTAAGACCCCAAATATGGCTGATGTCAGTAGCGAGCTGTAGACCTCACTTGCTAAGAATAAATTTTGAGTGCATCCTATCATTATGAGGTGAAGCTGTACTCTATTTCTCTCAAATCAGAAGTAGTGTGAGGGGCATTATGTAGGGAAGTTTCCATTGCATACGTCATTCACAACTTCATTTCAAAAGTGAAATGCACATAGGGAGTGGTTGAAGCTGGAGATGATCACACACAGGGCTGGAGCAAGGCCCTCCTGAGAACAAAGCTCTGTGGATATGCTGCTCCAATCCAGAGAACACTAAGTCCTTAGGCTACCATGCGGGCAAGTTGCTAGGCAACGGGGTATTATGTGACATCAACATGTGAATATATAAATAAACATGCTGCAGTGGTTGGGTAGTTCCTTTCCTCCCATCTAGAGAGAGGGCTCCACCTGACACCACCTTTCTTTATCTTGTCATTTCCTCCCCTTCTTACAGTCTCGTGGTCCTCACCCTGGGGAGTTTGAAAGCTGCAATGGCCATGAAAAATGCTTGCAAGTTTGGTAATAGTATGGTCTGATTTCCTTCTAGAACTATTCTCCTTTCAAAGTTAAAAGTCCCAAAGAATCTTTCTAAAGTGATCTAAGATGACCTAAAATCATAGGTCCTATATAGACTTCACCAGTTTTTCTCTACTTCCTCCCCACCATGTACATTTTTTTCCTGTGTCAAAACAAACATCACCTTGAACATGGAGCATTATCTCCGTTTCATCACTGCCTGCTATATTAGTAGCAACGCATGTATATATGCCAGCATCTGACAGCATGGCTTGGTTGATGCTTAAAGTCCCATCTGGATCACTAATGTGCTGCACTCCATCGATCAGTATGGTCTGGCCCTCTTTAAACCAGGTGACCACAGGAAGAGGTGACCCTTGAGCATTACAGGGAATATCCACTCGGTGACCAACTTGGACTTTCACGTGCTTAGGGCCATGCTGTATCTTTGGAGAAACTAGAAACAACAATAAGCATTAGTAATCCAATTTCTTTGAGATCCTTTGTTCTTTCACTCTATTTATTTATTTATTTATTTATTTGCAGTACTACGGATTTTCACTTTATTTATTTATTTATTTATTTATTTGCAGTACTACGGATTGAAACCAAACTTGAAGTTATCAAGTACTTTAAAATGCTAGGATTTCTTTAGCTTATAAATGATTTAAACTATTAAAACCATCTTAAAAGGCAACATAGGCATTTTTCTATAACATAAGAGAATAAAACAAAAAGTATTTTTCTACATGTTTTCTTTTTCCTATAGCACTGTTTTGTGAAAGAATTAAACAATAAGAAAGAAGACTCAAAGCTTTTGCTAATTTGGGAGAGAATTACACAGAACATTTATTATTTCCCCTTACTTCTATTGCTTTAGAAATTTAAATGTGTTTTTTAATCAAAACTGGAAAAATATTCATGTTTTCCATATATATACCACTGTGAACTGTAGAATAATGTTGAACTATGAGGATATGATTAGAATTTATACATCATATATCCTCCCAAAGACCCATTCATTTTTTCCTTTTTCTTTAATCCAACCACCAATGAACACTTACTAAAACTCATCACTCGCAACAACCTTCTAAGTTTGATAATGTTATTGCTATTATTTTAAGAATAACAAAAATAATTATAAGAAAGGTTGGCTAATATGCTTCATATTCTAGAGCTCTTAAGTGACAAAATTCTTAACCTGATGTCAAAACCCATGGCTACTTGGTCATTAATATAGAGACTGATCTTAGAGTAAATTCAGGTCAGTAGTTTCTGAGACAATTTCAAGTATTATTTCTGATATTTGAACATCTACCACCATGCCTGGCACAGGGTATGTAATCAAAGTGCTACATGAATGAGAAGTTACTTGGATGGACTGTAATAGGGTGGAGTAATAAAATACACCTCCTAGAAAGTTGTCAAGTAGTCAAGGAATCCTAGGAAGTAGTTTTTTTTTTTTTTTTTTTTTGAGATGCTGAAATTTTTCCTTGAAAATCTAGTTATCTTCTACCAGTGTAAGCACAGTTTTCTACTGCATATCAGTAACAAAAATGCTAAGTGAGAGAAGACATCTACAAAGATAAAAATCCTAAAATTTAGGATAGTTTATTTAAAGAAGGGAAAAATGCATTCACTTCAAAACTTACCATGGACGCTTAATTTTACAGACTGCGTCACATTTCCAGCAATATTTGTGGCAACACAAAGATACATCCCACTATCTGAAAGTCGGGCTTCAGTGATTTTCATTGAACCAGAAGGGAGGAACATGTGTCTAAAAGGCAAACATATCAGACCATAGAACATGAGAATTTAAATATCCCTATGCAACTGCGCATCGGTGCAGAGTTACAACAATGCAAAACCTGTAATGAATATCTACATACCACAAAAGTGAGAAATTTTCATGACTATTTGTGTATTTTGCGTGATGTTCTTGAAAACACAAAACTAGTTTTCTTTTCTTTTTTTTTTTTTGAAATCTTTTATTTGTTTTTTATTTATTTGGTACAGGGTCTCACTATGCAGCTTGGACTCATAGTGATCCTCCTGTCTCAGACTCCCTGAAAACCAGTTTTCTTTTAAGCTTTCAATCTATCCTGATAGTCTAAAATCATTAAATAATTGAACTTCTTCTTGCTTTAATAAGTTACAGCTAAACAAAGTTAATGGATATATACCTTAGAAAATTTGGAAATTGTACTATATTCATAAATATTTAATGTATTAAAATAAAGGTAGACAAAAATACAAATGTTTTCAAAAATAGATTGAACATCTTCCTCCAATCAAATAATAACAGTGCATGAACCAGACCTATATATAAAAATGTTATTTCATTAAGTTATGTTAAACTACAATGGGGAGGAAACAGAAGCTAGATAACTCTACCTACTATCAAGATTTCTTTTTTTCTTTTTGGTACCAGAGATTAAACTCAGGACTTTAAAACAGACAAGAGCTTGCTATCAAGAACAAACATCACATTTCTACATTCAATATGAAAAAGAAGCCAGAAAACTGCATAGCCTATTTCAAGAGGCAGGTCCTCGATAACACAAAGGACAGCCAGGTATATGTGTTCCTGTTCACTTCAAGCCAGTCACATGAATATTGAAACAGTGACAACAAGCCATTTCATAACCACTGACTACTTAGAAATATTTAATCACTGCCCTACATTCACTAGAAAATGAAAATTGATACACGTATATGTAGTTGGTGAGAGGGAAACACTGCCCCTTTGAAGAACAATGCAATGCATGCTTTGTTTTGTTGTGAGATAGGGTCTCACTATGTAGTCCAGGCTGGCCTCAAACTTGCAGTAATCCTCCTGCCTCAGCCTCCTAAGTGCTGAGATTCTGGGCACGTACCACTACATTCGACCTAAAGAGTACTTAGCAGTGTCTACCATGCTGGAAATGGGAAGCTGCTCTGATCAGATATTATAATATAACATACATACACAATAAATTCACACTGTGTACATGGATATAAAATATTCAGTAAAGCATTTATTTGTAAAAATAAAAATCATAGCATTCATAAATAAGGAAACATAAATAAAATGTATATTTTGCATATACTCAGTTAAAATGAATAAACTGAATTTATATCTATGCAAAATATTGGACAATGTTGATGTTAGAAAATAGGCAGTACAATAATAATAATAATAAATTATTATTATTATTATATGTTACAATGACTAAATGAAAGCAGGCACACAAACAACATTAAAACTCAAGAATAGTTTTGTGCTAGGTAAGTAAAGTAAGGTGCGCATCAAGTTTGGGGTTATATTTGCTTCAGGAAGAGAAAAAAAGGAAATTCTGATTGGGAAAGGGAAAAATAGAACTTTAATTTTACTGCAATATTGTATTTCTTACTAAAAAAATCTTTAATTAAAATCATTTTATAAATAAAAAGTCAAATTGGGGCTGGGGAGATAGCTCAGTGGTCTATGTGCCTGCAGGGCAAGTACAAGTACCTGGGTTTGATCCCCAGTACCGCATGCTAAGCAGGCTCCAGAACCCCACGCATGTGGTACTGGCCACAAAAACCAGGTGTGGTAGCACACGCCTGTAATCCCAGTGCTGGGGAGGCTAAGAGAGGTGGATAACTACAAGTCCCAAATGTGAAGTGAGACCTTTTATCAAATAAATTTTTAGAGAGAGACAGAGACAGAGAGACAGAGAAAAAGGGAGAGAGAGACTGGGGAGAAAGGTCAGTGGAATAAGTGCTTACCTGGCAAGCACAAGGTCCTGAGTTCAATCTCTGCTACCACCAAAACATAAATAAATAAATTAAAGTATACTAAACTAAGTTTTAGGGAGATGGCTCAGAAGAGTAAGTGCTTCCCTGGCAAGCGGAGGGCCTGAGTTCAATCCCCGTTTCCGCAAAAAAAAAAAAAAAAAAAAAAAAAAGGAAGAAAGAAAGAAGTAAAATTATGCAAAGCAATTCTTGTCTTTTTCCTAACAAGTGGTAGTGAGGCCCACTAATATGACTTCATACATTTATAATTTTATATCAGTGAGTCTAAGAAATGATAGTGATAACTATTCTTAGTCCACCTCTACATTTGCCTTGATGTTGCATTGTATTAGAAATTTAGAACTAGAGACAGAGTGTAAAAATACACTATCATATATAAACCCCTCATGTAAGCCTTGTCTTCATGATACGACAGAGTATACATGGTGTGATTAAAAATATGGTAAAGGTACATATTTTCAAACCATGTACTATAGTAATAGTCCCCTTGCTATGAATTCTCATCCCATCATACCCTGCTACTTCAAACACACTTATACCACTGCTCTTGTCACTTCCTGAAGCATTTCTATAATTTAATTTCTACATCTTTAATTTCACTCTCATGCTGATATCCTGAGTTGATTGAAAATGTTTGGGATTTAGTATCATTTTTACTATGAGGAAGAGCCAGGAGTCACATGTTGCCAGCTCTGGCGGGCAGGGTGGTAGACGATGCATCTTAGTGTCTTTACGAGTCCCCGTCTTTCCTTTGGCTGGCACCAGACGGTGGCTACCAGGATGGCCATCACACCTCATAAAAACCCTCACACCAGAGGACTTGCAAAACAGCTCCAGAAAGCAATGGAATAGGTACGTGTGTTTGAAGCTGGGGGAATACTTTCAGGGGGATTAATGGCAATGTGTCTTTTATTGTAATAAATTTTATTCACATATTTACCATATATTTTATCACACTCACTGTAAGGTTAATAGAGACTCCTTGAAAAAACTGCTATAGGTTTTGGGTAAGCTTTGAGTAGTTCACAAAAAAGCTTATACTCATACCTTGAGAGACAAAGGTTGTATTCTTAAAGCTCTGACTTTTTATTTGTTTTGTTTTTTGCACTTCACTTATTCTTTCAAATATATCATCTTGGTGGGCTTTTATTCACATAAGGGTTTAATCAAGAAGACTCACAAAACCATTTAATGAAAGCAAAGTCCCAGATATTATAGTGACTATTATGTTCTATTGCTCCTAAGGGATTAACAGCTCTGAGCTACACAGACTGAGCTAACAAGAATCTACTGACAAATCTGGTCCATTTTAATAACCACCTTGTAAAATGTACCAGTGGGAAATTGTGGCAAAACCGTGTCTTAGCATTTCTGACATAAAAGAATGACTTAGAAAGCATATATATCTTTCGTAGGCTCAGATGTACATACAAATTATCTTAAATATATAAGTGAGGTTTTAGACATTTGATAGATAATCTAAACAGGCACAAGCAACCTGTCCCCAAAGGTTAACATTTCCATGTATGGCGATTCATCCCAGGTCTCCTACCTCGGAGAGAATGGCGAGATGAGTTGGGTTTCTTTGGCCCAGGTGATTACAGGTGGGGGTAAGCTGTGCACTTCACAGGGAAGGGTCACCTCTTCCCCTGCCAGCACTGAGATCTCCACGGGCTTATCTTGGGACAGGCCTTGGTACTCTCCAAACACTCTGGGCCTTACTAAATAAAATAAACACACATTGTCAAAGAGAAACAGCGCAGTGAAAGCAAAGCACAGTTCAACTTACATTAAAATGCAGACTACTACGGTTCTTCGGGAACTCCTAAGAAGATGTATTTCTCCCCAAGTTTCAAGACATATCTAAAATTTTCCACTAATAATTTTATGGTGAAAGCTAAGAGGGAAATGAGGACATATTTCTCTTCACAGCACTTCTTCCCAGCACACTGGAAGAGGTCTGCAGAAATGTCCTTTCACAGCCACCATTGGCGACAGTGACTCCCTGCTCCAGGCAGAATACAACGCAGATACAGGGGAGGCTAAACTGTTCAAAGAGCTTTCACCAAGCTCTGCTGCTAACTAACTGGTGTTAGATGTCATAAACATACTTCTTGGGAAAACACCATAAAATTTTTCCAGAAGGCTATATAATTACTTTTCTGAAAATGGGAATCTAAGGAGAGGCAATTTTAGTTGGCAGTAGAAAAAAATTTTTTTTGGTACAAATATGAAATTGGGGGAGTGATTCACTGTGGGGGTTCAGCTGTCTGGTAACAGTACTTGGGAAAGAGCCGGGAGCCCTGCACAGAGAAGCAGAAGCAGAGGAGAATGTTGTCCAGGATTCCCACCATAGACAGTCAGCTGCACTTTCCTCTTGGCGTAGCCTGCGGCGTTGGTGGCTGTGCAGACATATTCTCCATTCTCCTCGCCTCCAGGTGATACCACATAGAGACTGCCATCAGCACCTGCCAAAAACTTAGCACTGCTGGTGGGAATCAGCTCTCCTTTCTACAAACACAATAGGACAGGCGGTTTTAAAATGACGATAGGAGCAACTTCATGTGTAGAAGAGGAAAAAAGAAAAACATCTCCAAGGGAGACAGCTAGATTTAAAAAAAAATGCTAAGTAAGAGTCATCTGTATAAAAACCAGGCAAGCAAAAAACTCAAAATGGTATCTCTCCTAAATAGGAAACATTCTCTCAGGCTTTCACGGAGAGCAAACTGGTCAAGCAATGGCCCTGACTCATCCACATGGCTGACAATGACAAAAGATCTACAAAATGCTATATAGGGTTTCAGGGTAAGTCCTGAGGAGATCTGACTGACCTTGCCAAATACAAAGATTGCATTTTTTGCTATATAGGTCTTGCTTTATCTTGGTCTTAACTATCCAGCAGAAAAGTATAAAAATGAGGTATAAAAACTAAAGCCATGTTAATATGCTCAGCTGTAGAAGTCTCAAGTCAACAACTTCTGACATTGCCAGTCATGCGGATAACCCACTACTCTCATAGACTTTTGGACTATATGGGATTACTTTGCTGAATTCATGCATCTACAATATATGAATGGCAATGGAATACCCATCTCTGACAAAAATAAACAAAAAGAGGGATATAAATGAAGGACCATTTTGCAGAAAAAATATATTGCTATATACAAAATAGCATAAATATACAGTTACTTTCTCTTAGTTCAATGAGAAGACAGTTTTGAACAAATAGTATTTAGACAAAATATCCTGTCAGCATCTTGTACTATGAATAACTACTACAAAGACAACAGTATGCAATGTATTAATTATTGTAACTGTCCTACTAGCCTGTTTTGAAACTGTCTCATTGCTACTTCTTTCTCAATAAAATTATTTTTAAAATACATTAAATTTAAATAAATTTTTAAAAGTGGTATCTATCCTTACCAAGTCACTTTTCCTTTATCCTTGGGGTTCTGAAGAAGGGTTGGAATGATAGTAGTTGCAACGGACGCCACTGGGCGTGCTTAGCCTCGACCAGGCTCTGTTCAGCACTTTACATCATTGAATTAGCTTCAAACAATCTTAAGGGTAGGAGCTGTCACACCCCCTCCACTGCAGTTCACACTACAAAAGCACCAGGACTGAAGGGTACAGTAGCTTAACCAGGACCACAAAACCATAGAGCTGGGTTTGGAGACCCATGAGTCAGGGTGTGAAGCCCAAATCCTCAACTTCTTCGGCCACAGCACAAAAGTAGGCTGGGGCAAACATTATGTTTTCATTTTCCTTAAAAGGCACTAATCTGCTTATGTCAGACACTATGCAGTTTGGAGACCAACTTTACCATCTTATTTTTTTGTCCGGAATGTACAAATGTTAAACTTTTTATTTATCTATGTATGGTAGCTCCAACTTCTGTGTATTTTAGAGGTTTTTGTTTTAAGATACATACATGTAGATAGTACAGAAAAGGACCAGCCATATGAATGCCACATTTCATTATTTTTGTGTCATTATTTTATATTAGCTGTATATCTTTGTGATAATTCAAAGATGAAAAGAACTACTTCAGGAAGTACGTTTCTCTTCATTAGAAGAATTCAAGTGAATAAATGAGTTTGAATATGAGCCCCATAACTTTTAGGCATATATGGGACTTGTGGCTGTACTGTGGGAACTGGTTAAAAGGAAAATCCATACAGTTGTGTCACAAGGATGGAACCATAAAAGCTTTTACCACTGTTGCCTCTCAGTTTAGATCTCATAAGCAACAGATTTGTACCAAGAGCTGTTCCAAGGACTGTGCATGGTATGGTAGGTCTTCTTCTCTCCCTCCTCACACACCTTCAGCCCCCTGATTCCAGTGCAGCTCTGGTGGGCAGCTCCATGTACTGTGCCCTGGTCATAGCAAGTCTGTGTCTTTTTGTCAAAGGGCTTTATCAGAGCCCCAGAAGGTCTGGTAGGCTGTGCAGTTATCCAGGAAATACAAAGATGTTGCCTCCTCTGGGGCTTCCTGTCCATTGTACATGCCTCACTTCCTGTTCACGAGAGGGATCCTTCTGAGATGGATCTATCTACATGGCTTATCAGAGAGCCCCTAGCATGTGGAAGTTTATCAGGCCAGGTACAGAGAAGCTAGCTTACTGTGGCACATTCTTAGCTTCCTGTCCTTCTGGGCCTCACCTCCCTGTTCTTGGGCTCCAGCCTCCAGGGCTCACTTTCCTAATAAACTCTGCTTTCTAAGGAGCATCACTGGGTATTTCATTTACCTTGGTCCAGACAATAGACGGCTTGGGGATTCCACTGGCTTTGCAAGGTAATGTTATTGGGATGCCTTCGATTGTGCTGAGTATCTGCTGCCCATGCTGAATGGTTGGCAGAACTGAAGAGGAAAGCGGGATTCAGAAGCTGAGCACGGGCTCTTCCATCTAGTATCACATGCTTAAATTTGAATATTTTCAGTGTGAATTCAACTTTTGTAAAACCAAGCAATGATTTGACATGTTCTGATAGAGATGCAAAGTAAACAAAAAATTAAAAATAAAAATAGTAATGATCTGAACAAATTTAATAGAAATCAGGAAAAAAAAAAACAGAAATCAGGTAGTGGCCAATGTGTAGTATGGGGAGGTTTTCTTTAAAAAATGAAAGGACTAAGGAATATTTTGTCCTGGAAATCCAAGGCAGATTACAGCCTCACAGATACGCATTCCATGTCTACCTTTTATCATTGTCCCTGTCCTCTACCTATTAAGCTGGGACAAGCTGACATAAGCCTATTACCAGAGAAATGGACTAGATAACCACTGTATATCTGTTTATATGGAAGAATCACTTAGTGAGTTGCCATGTTTAAAGGAAAAAATGATTCGTTTCCATTAAAAAAAAATTCAACAGTGAAACTTGAAAGAGTTACAGTTGACATTTAAGATTCTAAAGTACAGAATTGTACGTCAATATTTTCCAGCAAGATTAATTTATTTCTGACTTTAGAAAGCAAATTAACATTATGTGAGTATGGCTGAAGCAGGAAAAGCAGGAAGAATGTTAATCACTCCCGTCTGTGCTCATTGCAGTCAATCAGAACAGACTCATACACAGAAATAGTCAATACTGAGAGTGCTCGAAATAATGACTTTGATTAAAGAACTTTCCATATGTGAACATTGCTAACAGTGCGAGGAAGACAATGAAAGCGTGATCTATTCCAGACATTTCCTTTACATCCCCTGGAAAGATGGGACAGGAATGCTCCCTGGAGCTTAATCACTCACCATGTCACTTGCTTAAAATCAAGATTTTTCCAGAACTGTCATTGTAGCCTGGAGTAGAAGTTTGCTAGGATGGGAGATACCAGAGACTCCAGCGCAAAACATTCCTTAGAAGCCTTAATTTAGGTATATAACATGTTCATATTTTCCTACAGCTGCACTGACTTTGTTCTTTAGATAATTCCTTCCTAAAGAATTGGCTACTTACTGCAGTGAGAAATTTAACTTTGAAAATTCTAATGGAGTTTTCAGCTTTCAAATAGGCTGTCAATTTGTGATAACATGAAATAAGCCATTTTCTAAAGTCTAGATTAAAAAAATAAATAAGGTCTGTATTAAGTTTGACAATAATAAGGAAAAGTGGCAAATTTAGGCCAGTTTTGAAATCTGATGGCATCTGAGTGTGGAAGAGTGTTTTCTGCCCAGATTATCCATCTGCATAAGTCGCTGTGGCAAAAGACTCACTGTCATCTCAATTCTCATTCATTCATTCATTCATTCATTCGTTCGTTCGTTCGTTCGTTTGTTCGTTCGTTCGTTCATTCAGAGTTAGTTGAATTTTAATGAAAATTCTTGAAAGTTAAGAGGCATATTAAGGAAAAAGTGGTATTGCTAATTAATGTAAAAGAGAGATGCGAGAGGAATAGGCATAAAAAACATGTCTGCATTTGATGAAATTTTCAATAGATCAAACAAAATCTGGAAACTAATGAATTCTACAATTCATGTTCTAAATGAATCAGCTAAAAATAAGTGCTCTGTACAGCTTCCTTCCCTGAGAAGGCCTGTACAAAAAGCTATTTTTACCATTACAATTTTAAAAATAAAAGCAATGTTGTAGTTTTTAAAGGAAATACACAAAAAGTTATAATACTTTCTTAAATTATAGAAGTCTCTTATTTATTAAGGTGTAAAATAAGGTAACTGCTCGTCACAAGTGAATTGCCTCTGGATTTCATTAGTGACCTTTAAGTTATTTAATATGCAAGAAATTGAATTATAGAAGGTGACCTTTAGAAAAGAAAGCTTAGGTCATTCCTAACTCAAACAAAAAGGGGTCATTAGCAAGGATGTGCTTGTCACAAAATCAAAAAAAAAAAAAAAAAGGCAATTTGGATGGTACAGTAAGTTCAGCTTGCTTGAAATTAAAATGCATTTTTTTAAACATAATGCTTTGAGAACTGAATTCTGAATTCACTTTTATCAATTAAGAAGCCACTTACAAAAGCCTTTGACTAGACTCCACTGGTGGCTCCCATAAATGTCTTTTTTGTGTACCTAGAAAATGAAAATCTGGAAACAGAACTAACAATGTACGTACTGTTCAAGAAATATAAAAATAAGAATTGGATAGAATGTACTTCTAATAATTGGAGGAAGAGAACTTTATGGTGGGAACACAGGAACCCAGCTTTGAACAAGTTTTGGGAAGAGTTTCGCTGGGTCTGGCTCTCTTACCGTGCACCACCACAGAGGTTCTTTTGCTGCTGGTTCCAGCAACGTTAGTGGCCACACAAGTATATTCGCCTCCATCCTGCAGCCGAACTCTTTCAATATGGAGACTCCCATCTCTGCGCACAGTTATGTAAGGGTTCTGTACCAGCTTAAAGGAATAAAATGTCACCCTTAATTTACAAAGTAATGATTTGTTTGTGTCAAAATCAAATCTACTTTTATTTTCCCCAACTGCATTATTAAATGTAAAACAACAATGTATTTTAGCACCCTTAAGAAAAAAGTGATAGGCATAAAATGTTACCAAGAGTCTGTCAGTTACATATCATACTCAATAGCTCCAAAAATTATGCCTAATATTTATCTGAGAGTTTTGCGCATGCTTGAAAAATGAAAGAGTCAAAGCATCTGCTTCTTCTTTCTGTAAATTGCTTTATCATTCATGACATAAATTTTACTTTTTTATTTTAAATTGTTCTTTTCCAAGAAGAACTTACTATCACTAGAAAGTCATTTTATATTTATATTTTGATACATAGGTGCTTATTCAAGCTGAGAGAAAGTTACTTAATCTCACCAACCATCCTTGTGAACTTACAAAGTAAAATATCAGAAGAAAATATGTGACACAGGAATTGTGTCAGAGAGATGGGTGATATCTTCAGTTAAGAAGGATCTCTTCTTCTTCTTCTTTTTTTTTTCTCTTTTTGGCTGGCTTACCCTCCCCTGAGGCATGGCGTGTGGTGCAGGGAATCAAATCCAGGTCCCCTGCATAAGCATAACTAAGCAGATGCTTTAGACCCCTGAGCTATCTTGCCAGCCCAGAAAGATCACTTCTAAAGCTGTAGCATTTGTGTACAATGCAGATGTGTTGGTGCTAAACTAAGGTCATTCTGTCCCTAAGGGTGCCATAGGTGGTGGCGAACCTGTGGCATGGAGGCAAATTGGGCTGTTTGTTATCGTTGAAAGCTCTAAATGTTTCATCATTGCTCTGAGATATGCTAAATTTAAGTGGGCCATGCTACTTTTCCTGAGGTTTTTCACACAAATATAAATAATTTATAACCTCTTACATAGAGTCCATTCACCTCTTGAGGACTTTAATAAGGGAGCCCCAGTATTTTGGAAACTGGAAGGTGAAGGGCTCTGAGGTAGAATGTTCTAAACACAGACTGTAAGTTTATTGCAAAATTTCATAGAACTGTAAAAGTTTTCAACATTATTTCATAATTAAAAACTATATACTAAAATAAATATATATGATAGATACGTATTTTGAAATATTTCATTACTATAAAAATAATACTATGTCAGGGTTTACATACTCTGAAGGGAGTTTAGTAACATTGAATTTAATGTAAAGTTATTAAAATGAAACTACTCTTTCTCCATTTTTGATCAGAAAATAGTATGAATGAGATAAACATGTAAATGAGAGAGAACAGTTTGGTATACTTTCAAAATATATATTTTCCATGTTTTTTAACTTTATACTTCAGTGTCTAGAATACATCACTTCTGGAGTGTAAGCACCTGCCTAGCAAGTGCAAGGTTCTCAGTTTGATCCCTGGTACCGCCAAAAAAAAAAAAAAAGAAAAGAATACATCACTTCATATTCAATAACATTAGCAGTATAAATGTATGACTTTCAAATATTCTTACTGTGGCTGAATTTTTAGTCCATCGACGTTCTGGGATGGGGTTTCCAGCCAGAATAGTACAAGGCAGAGTCAGCTGTTGTCCTTCAATAACATTGGCCACAGAAGGACTGATTCCAATAAGAGGAGCAACTGAATCAGAGAGAGCACAGGAATTTTCAACTTTATTCATCAAAAAGGAAGGCAAACTATTTTATGGGCCAAGATAACTAACTACTGGTTATACCAGTAACTTTTCAAGATCAACAATTGTTCATGAAAATGAGTACTAATTTGGATGAAGGGATAAAAGGTAAGTTTAAGGATGGCAAAAGATTAGGTAATAATGAAGAAATAAAGAAAGTAAGAAAGAAATGGACACAGCCTGGAAGGTCAGAAAGGTCAAGCCAAGATACCCACAGTGCACTTGGTGGGCAAATGGACAGTGAATGAAAGCATTTGTCACCTGAGTATTGTGAACAGGCTGGAAGGAATGGCTAAAACATGAAGGCTGCTGTAATAGTTGAAGTAAACAACAGGACAGGGGTGGACTCTATGAGATGAAACTGTGAAGAGGGACTACAAATATGCTGTTTCCTAGAAATCAGTGATAAGTTTAGACTAACTCAAAGCAAAATCCTTAAGAGATTTTACTGAG